GGTGTGGCTGACTCTTAACTTTTATAAAGAATATCTCTTTGGATTTGAGACTTTAGTCTTTGCAACTTTACAGATCTTCTTTATGCACCAAGAGCTTGTAACACTCCAAAGAGAAAGGAAAACTTGAAATCGCATCATATGACCCCTTTAAGATAATCCACACAAACAGTGAAATCAACAGACATCATTTCAATATGAATTATATAAATTTTACACGAAAGTACTTCTTTTGTGGCGTAATTTTTCACCACAAACAACATATTTTTCCACAGTTTTATCAAAAGTTAGTGTACTTGGTTACAAAAGAGAGAAAAGTGTCAGCAAAGAGTATGTTTGTGTGTCAGTGAAGGATATAGTATTCACATAAGTAGAATTAACAGACCAAGTAAGCCATTAACTGCTCTCAAGCAGGTCCTGTTCCACAGGAGGTAACATGCTTGGTCAATCTGATCAGCTGTCTGTAACCTTAATCTCTAAAACATGCTGTATGTACACAATGATCCATACAACAAAACGCACACACACTTAAGACATGCATTTACACAACGCTGATGTGTTAGTATGGCAGTGTCCCTTTGTGACAGCAATCACACTACACTGCTGTGATCAGGAGAAACCTGCAATGACTGTGCTACCTGACCAGTGAGGACACAGAAATAGCACAATATTAGCAAATGGCAGCTTAATTGAATCATAGTTCAGTTAGAAAATTAACATTTGAATGCTTTTTGTTTTTGGAAAGAGAGAGGGAGGGAAAGAAGGAGAGGGAGAGAGAGAAAGAAAGGTGCTCTGCAGAAGATCAATGCAGAGCTTCAGTCCAGTGTTCATTTGAAGTGCTAATAGAACCGTTTGCAGCAGAGCAGAGAAAGAGCAAAGAGCAATGCAGTAAACGGCACAGACTTCATTTGCACATCCTCACATGACAGCAGTCCCACAATTTAAAACAAAACAAAACAAAAGCTGTACTGCAGGAGGTAGCCTGGTAATATTCCTAATACCTGCAACACCATTTTTCGGTTTGAAAGGAAACACATATTATTTCCTGTAACTGTTGGAAAACGATAGTCGGCTTTTCCAGAAAGCAAATGATCAGGTACAAATCAGGCTCATCATCACATTTCTAGTGTCAATAAATGTGTCTATCGGACTGTGAAGGAGATTTGTTCACTACTGCTGCTGATCCACATGATCCATCATATCCACATGATCCAGCTTATAATACCAATGATATTAGATCAGTATGCCATATGTTAAGCAATAAATCTGCATAATGCCATTTTTGAGCAAAATTCTAATCCTTGCTTTTCACATACATACATAACACTATCTCCAAAGTGTTGCTGTATTGCTTGAAAGCCTTTTCTGTCTGTTATAGCTAAATTCATCTGTTTTCATTCCAAACACTGCCACCTAGTGATGATGGAACGCTGTTGCAATAACCTGTTTCATTCTAATGTAAGAAACAGCTCTTGTGCAGATGTGATAATAACTGTAATGAGGAAATCTATAAATTGAGTAATAACAGTGAAAATGTTTTTAAAACTAGGTGTTACTACCTAATTTACATGTTTGTTCATTAAAAAGAGCAAGTAAAGTTTTATATCAAAGTCTAGCAAAAAACACCTTATAGCTTCTACCATGGATGAAAAAAAAGACGACGACGACACTGGCACAGTTATAGTTTTGTTTATTGACTGCTTACCAGCAATAAATTCTGGTATTAATAATTAAGTGGGATGAAACAGTCTCACTCTTTTTTTTACTGCACAACATTTTTTTATATTCCCCTTAATATTTTGGTGCATATTCCAAGAAGAAAAAGACTAAGACTACAGCTTACATGCAAATATCTCCTCAAAAGCATTTTAATTAGCTTTAGGTGCACACAGGCATATAGAGGATCTCACAGCCAATAGACATGCATTCGGCTTTTGATATCAAGAGGTCTTTAAAAGCTCTAATAAAAACAAAGTGTGTGATTAATTGCATCATAATACATCTAAAAACAAATTTTGTACAGTAAGTGTCTGTGGATGTCAGGAATCCCCTCCACTCTGGCTGTTTGACTGACAGCTCCATTGAGCATGTTGACAGCACCCATTAAAACATCCGGTGTCAGGTTAATGTTTTACATGGCTTAAACTGTAACTCAAGCAGCAGCCTGTGAAACAGTGGCAGTATGGATTGTTGTGTATATGTGAGTGAGAGCTGACATGCTGGGTATGCATTTTGGCTCCACGTACTCTCATCTATCAAGTTCACACAAGCCAAGCACCGAATCTGTACTACCAAGCGGACGAAATGAAGGTCGTTCCATGTTATAACGGAGAACAATAGATGCCTCTTCCCATTAAGTGTCCTAATGCGTCTAGACACACTGCCAACAGAAACAAGCAGGAGTGCATGTCCCCCTGCAAAGTGAGTCAAAACCTGTACAACAAATATATTAGCCTGGTTCAAGCCAACCACAGCCAAAACGGTGCTACAATTCATGCTATTTATTATTTTCACAAATAGGGCAAAACTCAAAAACACTTTCTTCTATATTATTGATGCTATTTTTACACATACACCAAACTTTTCAATCAAATAGTTATCTCTATAGGCAACTTTTAGAGTTCTAGTAGCTCGGAGATCCTCAATGATATAGTCAATGGCTATTAATTCAATGGGGTGCAATGACAAACAAGCAGTGTTTTCAGCTGAGCAGACTTAGTGTCTTGTTTTTTTTGGTGGGGGGCAATGGTATAATTGAACATGTCATGTGCAAAAGAAAAAACAACAGCATCAACAAGCCAAACACTTAGAAATCTGCCCACCTGATAGTAGTAGCCATTGTCCGTCTGGTATGGAAGTGCACTGATGCTGGGGGTCCCAAGTGCCGTTTTCAAGATCTCCTCACAGCCTAAATCACAAAAAGAAAAATATTAGTCCTGTCAAGACGTCTCACAAAGCACAAACAAGAAAGAGATAATGCCCAGTTATTATCACAAATTCCATGATTACTCAGCAAATAATTAAATACGTGGACATGAAATATTGATTTCAGTTGCCTGTATATTATAAAAATGATATGTGTATCATAAAAATTTGTTGAAAGACCAATAACAATTAGAAGGATTTAATGTATCTATTTAATTTTTTATTAGAGAAAAGATGCATCTCAGATATACACTGACTAATTCAAGAAATGCAGCTTTCTCACTCAGTCATTATGGCTATTGTACTGTATGTATAAATCAGCTTCTGTCACTTTAAATTTCATTAGTTTGACGACATCTTGTTTTTTCTCAAACCAGGCTTGAATTATTGAACTACACCCACTGTAAAATTTAGAGATTCTTTGCTCCACTTATGAGAGCCAAAAAAAAAACAAATTGTCAAGATACACATTTTGATAAAAACTAAAGTTCAACACTAGATATCATGTTGGAAAGGGGAACTGTTCTCTTTAATATACAGCTATATTGTTTCTCAAATACACAAACCCATTTGCAGAAATACAAAAAGCTAAGTAAAATCTCATGAATAAATAACACACTTAGAGGCACAGTGAAGGGCAGCCCAGGCCTCTGATCCATTTATAGTCACATAACATGAAGTGTAGTGAAGGCTCAGTGCTCTGTGTGACATCTCAAGTGGGCCACAGCTCGCCTTGGCTCCGGGAATATCCCAAATGGGAACATATTGTGGGCAATATATATAAAGCCATGCACAATATGCCTGTTTTAGCAGAGCAAAGACAGACCACTGGTGAAACAGTGGTAACAATCCTGCACAACACACAGCAGCGCAGTCTCCTTTGGGACCTCAAAAGGACAAACATAGGCTTTGGCTTTGTAGACTTGCTGTGCGTGCCGGGGATCAGGGATTGGGGGATTCATTAGGGAATGAGTGAGTGGGAAGACCACTGGGGCTCATTAAACACAGGACACTGGGGGACAAAGTCTTTGGGCCTGGAGCCCATTTGGCCTGCCTACATCTCCCTCTTCAGCCGCTTCCATAGAGCGCTGGCACACAGACGTCCTACCCGGGTCCCTGTGCCTGCTGGTGCCCTGCTTATTCAGCTAGCAGATCTCTGCTTCATAAGTCTGCCAAGCAACGTGAGTGTCCCTGGCTGACAAATGTAACCCTGTGAAATAGGGTAGAGAGCTAGACAAGGGAGTAAGTGTCTTAAAACAGCTATAAATAATGTGAAATTAGATTGCTGAACCATGATTACACAGTAACTTTAAATGTCTGTGAATCCCTAAAATAATCCCAAAGTGATGCTTGACGCTATAATCAGGAATCACATCCCCCCGTCTTTTAACTGAGAAGCACAACCCACGCTAACAAGTGAATTACTACTATGCTGTCGTTATATGAGAAAATGTTTCAATCTGATAAATGGTTGATTAAAAGCACACCCAGAGATGCTTGTAATTTGTTGTTCAAATGTGGTTATTTTTAATTAAGCAGATCAAGAGTGTTCATTGGTGAAGCAGAGATCTCTAATCAGATTCTGCTCACTCAGGCTATTCATTATCTCTTACAATTGTAGATTTACACAGAAGTCAATGCAGAATGCTAAAAAGACAGAGCTGTGTGCCATTATCTGCCTTTGGGTTCTTCTGATCAATTGTTTAATAAAATAGAGTGATAATACTAGTGTGGAGATAAAATTGCATACATTTCTGGAATGATGCACAACATGCTGTTTTTAATTCAGGAACATCACGGAAAGTGTCTGTCTAAAGGAACATGGTGTCTAGCAACTAAGCTTTTATCTCTGGAGAATCTTTCAGTTTGGCACACTTTGTGCTGAACTTAACGGCTGTGTGTGTGTGACAGAACAGAAGAGATGTGCTCTGTGTTTGATGCCACAGAATGAACATTTAGGGCTTAAAAGGAAGTTATAGTATATATAAAAATAATATTCATAATCAGTATTTTTGTCCTGCTAAAATAAGATGCATTCACTTGATAAGCAAATTTGCATACTTTTTAAGTAAACTTAGCAATAACTATGCATTATGCAAGTTAATTTTCTTAACCTAATAATAATAATAATAATAATAATAATAATAACAATAATACATTTTTTAATGGGGTAAGGCAGGGGATTCCCAAACCTTTTCGACAGCCAAACCAAAATATTTATTTGAGGTACACCCAAAGATTTTAGGTTAATATTTTAATATTTAAAAACACATTTGCACATTCATGGTTTTCTGATGGTGGTTAATGATCAAATGATATGCAGTTAAACAAATAAAATATTCTGATTATATTATATTGTTTTGTATATTAAAATGATTTATTTTAAATTTAGATTTTTATGATTTCATTAGTTACTAGCTTTTCCTCATCTCATGAACCACCTGCAGTTCTGTCACGAATCCCAGTTTGTGAAACCTGGGGTAAGGTATACAAAATAAATTTAATTTCCAATAAAATACATTTTTGACAAAAGAACATGACAGTATTTTGACAGTTATTTGAAATTGTATTTTTGTAGTCATATTTCAGAGATTTTTACCCTGATGTTCTCAGAATCCCTTTGATCTAATGCAAGCAGATTCATCAATGGTATTTATGGGCATGAAATACTGCTCAGAAGGGAACCGTCCTCTTACCTTTGATTGCAAACACTCCATGACAGAAATCTCTGAAGTTAATTCTACCATGAGCATTGGGATCCAGGTACTTGGCAAACTTCTTCACCTAAAAAAAAAAAAAAAAAAAAGCAGAGAGACGTGCAGGGGAATGTGGATGGTTGAGCAGTGATACAGCAGACAGCCGTGCAACCGTGTTCTGTCAACTCCAGGTGAAGGCTGCATCTCAAACCTTTCAACCTCTGAAAACGAACTTTTCGATTGCACTGGGCGGCGGGTTGCAAAAATGCATAATTGTTTTAGGAATAAGATGCAATAGGTAGTCGTCGGGTTCAAACAGGATGTCTTCGGAGCCATTAGTGAGAACGGTAACCACAAAGTCACCTAGATGGGGAGGATGATCACATGTTCAGTATGGTACCTTCCTATAAATAAATGAGGGGATGTGCGTTTTATCAGTGGTCAGCTTCACCTCCCACAGATGAAGCACTAGAACAGCTGCTGTCAGTATGTGTCGTCACTGTCAGCAAGTCTTTGTGATGGACAGCTGTCAAAGTGAAAAAGACTGATCCCAAGGCAAGACTCGCTTACTCAACTCATAGACGATTTGCCTTCAAACACCTTAGTCAAGCGTAGCTGTATCTGTTTTTCTGAAAACAGTGAATACTGTTTTGCTCAGAGGTTGCTTTTTCATGGCTTAGGAGATTTAATGGAGTTCTCTGCCATGATTTAGTCTTAAATGTTCTTGTCTAACATTCTCTAAACAAAACAGACCATTGCTAACATTCAGTCTGTCTAAACTGATCAAATGAAACTGAACAGCATAGCTCAGATAATTTGGTCTTGGAAGAATCTAATGAGAAATGATCATAGCAAGTTTTTTTCATCTCCATTGGATCTCACTCACTAAGAAGATCTCATTAGCCATTTTTCTTTCCTATGGGAAGGTTGCCCTTAAGGGCTGCCAGACATGTTTAGGAGAGTTTATGAGAAAACATTCCATGGTAACACAGAAATCATCATAACTGTGATTCCCACTTCACACACAGCTCCTTGACAACTTCACTCCTTTCTAAATATATTCTCCTACAAGAAGAGAAGAAGTGTTCTTGACAAGCGCTCAGTCTTGCAGTCCTCCTCTCATAGCTGCTAGAATGATTCACCACACTGCCACAGAAATAGAGGCGTTTAGTGCAATAGCAATAGGACAGAGAGCTGAAACACAGCAGCCATGAAAGCAGGTCATGCATCTCTGTGATGGTGCATGCACACACCAGGAAAGAGGAACACACGTGGGCTAAATAAATCACTTGGCCCAAATGTCTCTTCTACCTCAGCTCAGGCCGAGAGAGAAAAATATTCAGAGAAACATACAGAAGAACGCAATTTACATGTACACTACCGTTTGGGGACATTAAGGTTCTTTTTTAAAATGTATACTTTTATTCAGGAGGATGCATTCAAGTAAACAAAAAGTGACATTTATAACGTTACAAAATATTTTCATTTTGAAATAAATAGATTTATATAGATATTCAAAGAATCCCGAAAAAAATAGTGCTCACAAAAATATTTTCAACAGTGATAATAAATGTTACTTGAGCAGCAAATCAGCATATTAGAATGATTTCTGAATGATCACATGATACTATAAAGACTATGACTGAAAATTCAGCTTTATCATCACAAAAATAAATTACTTTTTTAAAATATATTTACATTTTACATTACATTACATTTCTAAAGAAGAAAACAGTTATTTTGAATTACAATAATGTGACAATTTTACTGTTTTTTTACTGCATTTTTTATCCAATAAATACAGCCTTGGTGAGCATAAGAGACTTCTTTAAAAAAAACTTTCAAAAATCATACCGACCCTAAACTTTTGCATGTTAGTGTATACAGTATAGATTACAAAACTTAAAAACCACTCACATATACTATAAATAATCCAAGAAAAGTTGCATATCTGCATATCAATGAATGTGCAGAAACGGGAGCATTTGGATGCATTTTATTTAGTGATTTCAGAGCAATCAGAGTGTTCAAAAAAAGTTAATTTAAGACATTGTAATCATAATCCATATAAACTGAGCGGTTTAACCCAAGTCTTCTGAAGAAGCACGATCATTTTATATGATGAACAGATTTAACTTAGATTTTAATTAACATATAAACCCTTGGATTAAACTGCTCAACTCATATTACGTTTACAATGTCTTTATACACTTTTAGATGTGTGAAAGTTTTAGGGGAATGAAATGGGAAGGACAGAAATCTCTGAGGTTTCATTAAAAATATCTTCATTTGTGTTTCAAGTATCATACAGGTTTGGAACAACATGAGGGTGAGTAACCAATGACAATGTTCATTTTTGGATGAAATGTCCCTTTAAAGATGTACTTTAGTGCTGTTGTGTTCAGTTTACATAACTAAAAACTGGTTACATCAGCAGAAATAAAAATTCACACCACATCCAGAATATCTGCAGGCTGATTACTAACTCTTTGTTTCTTTTAACTCACTGATCAAGCAAGAATCTTTCATTAGTCTTCATCCTCACACTCAGTCATACATACACGTTATATGCTGTTGACCCTCACATCTTGTCACTGTGTGTTCTGTCAGAGTCCCTGTGAAGCAGTGCTGTTGTTATTAAGGATTGTATCAAGGGCTCAATGTTAGCAACTGCCCTTCAAGGCCACTCCAGTGCAGTCTGTGGGAGGGGATGGAGAGCACAGGCACACGTTCACCACACGTTCTGCACTGAAACATCCTCGTGCTATTCACGCATACTAATCACAGCAACCTCATCATCAGGAAACAGACTGGAGAAGGGGAGGGGAGAGGAGAGAGGGAGGAATAAGGAATGAAAGTGAAGACTAGATTGGAGGATGAAGAAAAAGGTGACCCCGTGAGAGAAAAAGGAAAGGGTATGTGATAATAGTGAATATAATATAATGACAATGGAAGAATGGATGGATATAAGGTGATGACATCTAGAGATATGGCTCTAAAACAAATATAAATAATGGATTAGAGAAAAGAAATTGAGGAGGGACTGGCGAGAAGCCCTGCTAAGACTAAGAGACGGTCATCACAAAACATTCAAGCTGCTATCATGAACTGCTCCTCACAACTGTGCACCATGCAGAGAGACCAGTCATCTGTGACTGTACCTCACACTCACACACTCATGCAGTTACATCACTTCCTTCTGCACAAAGCACTCAACTGTATCACTGCAACTGGTACAACCTGGCACAAAAACATTTGCTTCTGACTAATGATAAAAGCACTATTTTATGGCCATTTTGTTCATTGCACTTTTCACATGATTTTTTTTTTTTTTTTTGCATATTCAATTGTATTCTATTGTGATAGAATCCAGTTAAATAGACATATATACAAATAAAAAATAATAATAATGCACACTACCGTTTGGGGTCAGTAAGATTTTTTTTACAGGAATAAATACTTTTATTCAGCAAGAACATATTAAATTAATAAAAAGAGACAGTAACCCATTCATTATGGTTTCTATTAAAAACAAAACCACTAAAATAAAGATTTCTATTTCAAATAAATGCTTTTCTTTTTAACTTCCTATTCATCAAAAAATCCTGAAAAAAATATCACAGTTTACACATAAATATTAAGCAGCACAACTTTTTTCAACATTGATAATAATAGGAAGAAATAAGAAATTAGAAATGTTTCTTCAGCAGCAAATCAGCATATTAGAATGATTTCTGAAGGATCATGTGACACTGAAGACTGGAGTAATGATGCTGAAAATTCAGCTTTACCATCACAGGAATAAGTTATATTTTAAAATACAGTATATTAAAATAGAAAACAGTTGTTTTAAATTGTAACATTTCACAATATTACTGTTTTTACTGTATTTTTTGCTCAGATAATAGTAGCCTTGGTGAGCATAAGAGACTTCTTTCAAAACACCCCAAACCTTAGATCGGTAGTGTAAATATATAAATAACAAAAAACAACACAAGTCCAAACTGAAAGCCCATCGCTGATTATTCAGTATCTAAAAATCCATTATTTGCCATCTCTGGTGAACACTATTTGGTGTGCATCTTACCAATCCCAAACGGCAGTGTACATTAAAATACAAAAAAAATTAATTCAATTAAAAATATATATAATTAAACAACATACAAAAATAACATTAAAAAATAACATACAAAACCACTTTAAAATCATCATGTACATAACACAAAACATTTACAAAATGTTTAAAACAAAAAATGTCAAACAATGTTTTAAACTAACATTTAAAACATCTGAAATAATGTAATTAGCAGCACAGTTCCACATTATAATGCTCACTGTAATTGAGAGGTGATTACATACAGCTAAACATTGTGCATTTGTCCTGTGCAGCAGTAATGAGTTTGGTTTGGTTTGAATCTGTAAGGTTTAGAAGGACGACTTTTACTGAGTCCTTCCCCTTTGTACCCACTATTAATCAGATAAAGTCACCCATTTGTCACCACTGCTGACTCCTACATACTGCTCACCATGTTTAGCAAGCAAAACAGTCACACGACCTAATGCGCTATAAAAACATACTGTGACAACTCAGTGAGCTGGCATGGGATTCATTTCTGAAATCAAATTACATAATCTGTGTGCTTAATAATCACATTAATAATTCAGATGTGCAGTACATGAACCTATGGCCAAATAAGAAGTATACACAACATAAAGGCAGGTTGCTCATTTACTTTTTCATTACTGCCGTCCACTGAGACTATAGAGACTCATTTTAAATATCAATGAGCCTTGAGGCACCACAATTCATTATGGATTAAATTGAATGTGTAAAGGAAGCCAATTAAACATCTAATCAGCTGAATAAAAAAGCAAGCGTCGACCAAGAATGGCTGCACATGGTTGAGCAGCACACAATTCCGAAAAATGACTATAATTTGTGTCATGTAGATAAAATACTTCTGATATGGTCAACCAGGAGCACCAAAATCTCAATCTCAAAATGACCCTGATAAATCCAGATATCTTTGTTAAAGTCTATGTAACCTACAGATCCAAAACAACCTGCACTATATCCTTATCTTAAACAGCAGCCTGCTTTAACTGAAAGGAAAGCTCTCCTCAGCATCCTCAAATTGTTAAAGATGGATTGCCATGGTGACAGTAAAGGAAATGAGCATTTTTATAGCCGTTATTTCTGTTTGTATTGTGCCTTCATACCAGCCTAATGACATGGGAAAGCACATTCAGTCCATCTTCTCCTGTGTGATTCGTATAAAAAAAAAACATTATGAGTGACTAAAAAAGGCCTACTGACAAACACAGTGTGACCCAGTTGAGCAGAAGAATAAAAGACGTCTATGTAAATGAGAAAAAGATAATGAGTATTAGCCAAAGCACCTGTGATTCCTGTCATTATGTTGTTTGTTTTGGTCACGCTCTAAATACAGGGAGCAGATAAAGCTGAACTGACAGAGCAACTCAACGATCACCATGAGAGGGAGAAAGCAACGGCACGTTTTAAAGCAGCATTAAATAAATCCTTATGGGAGTCAACCATGTTTTCATTATGTTGCCACTTTAAATAGTTCTACAGCATTCATTAATAAATCTATTTTATTGATGAAAAAGTCCATAGACACAAGCTATATGTTGTTATCAGTAAGCTTCTGAGTGAAGGCAATAAACCGCACTTTCAACCAAAAGACACAAACTCATCTGATATTCAGCAGGAGCAATACTCACACAGGGCAGTGGATATTGACTAGTCACACTCAGGAGAGATGCTCTCCATAAGACAGATTTCTAGACAAAAGCATTTACTGGCAGCACATCAAGAAGCACACACTGAACTACACAGCTGAACCACCAGAGCTAGAAAAATCTTTGCTTGAGACAAGAACTATTCTATAAATGATAGAACATACATAACATCATGATCAGTTGTAAAAAATTAAATCAATGGTTATTTTG